AGGGGGGAAGGGCTCGGAGACCTCCTGTCATTCCTCCCCGAAGGGGAAGGAAGCCTGGCCTGGGCCCGCCTCGCCGGAGCGATGGGGGGACGGCCTCACGCAGCTCCCGATCGATACAGATCGCTGGGGGGGGCTTCATCCGCGCGAGCGGGGGCGGCCGGGGCGCAGGTTTAGCGTTTCTCGGTCAAGTTTACGTTCGGTCAGTTTGTGGCGTGCAGGGCGAGGAGCAGTTAATTGTCTGCTATGCCAGACTATTGAATCTCCTCGCATTATTGATGGAAAAGAAGCGAAACCATTTATTTACATCTTGCCGATTGAGCAGAGTAGTCAAGTGTTTAGTCAAGCGCTGAAGGGTGTAGAACTGCTGAAGAACAAGGGGAAGGACAAAGTGTTTTCGGAAGTGGCCTGATTTGTAAGGGTCACTTTAACGCACTGCTAAAAATACTGATTCCTCGTGTTGTCATTGGACGTGATTGTGTGGGAAGCTAATGAGTGTTTTCATAAGTATTTTTGAATCTTAATAGGGGTAAAAATAAGTCTTAGATTTTTGTTATTGTGCACTGTAAGCAGGTTTGGTTCTCTGAAACTTTTAAGACTTGATAGTACGGTTATGAAAGCTAAAATACTGCACTATGTGATGTTAAAATCCCAGTGAAGTTTGCATTTTGGTGTATTCCCTTGCATAATTTATTAAACAGTGAGTAACAGAACTGCATTTAAATTGTGTAGTTTTTCATCTGAATCATTTTCTGTTTATTTTAAGTCATTTATGTTCATTAGACTATGTACAATGGCATTACATGAGTCAAAAATATAATAAATATTGCCCAGTTGAAATAGGAATTGGCAGAACGTGCCCTCGTCCTCAGCTGTACACTTTAGGTACTTTAGAATTTTTGGCATCAACTTGCTAATGGTGTTACTTGTAGAACATGTTTCCTTTTCCAGAAGTAAATGGTCATAATGTCTTCTTTTACATCTGCTGATTTCTAGATGAAAATTCAGCAGAATTCTATTTTTTTTTTAATTATACGAGACAAATTTATTAATGATGTACAGGTATAAATTTACAAGGGCAAATATTAAAAGATAAAAGAAGTGGAAACTGAAATTGATGCGTAACCGTCACTTGTCCAATACAGAGGTTGTATTTCATGATCGGATTGGTGTCAACTGGTCCACAGCTTTTATGATTTTACACTGATGCGCTGAAGTGCTTGTCCTGCATCAATACAAATCAGTTAGTTGCAGCTTTGGACATCCTGCTTATATGGACATCGTAGAATACCCTTGGAATAGGTGCTTATTTTCAGAAGCGGTGTACAGTACTAATGAAATAATTTATTTAAATAGTACTGAGAATAACTTTTAAAAATGCGGTTTGCCTGAACTTGTATGTAAACGGACTACAGCAGAGATTATTGTGGCAAGTGTTTACATGGGTTCTCATTATCTCACGTCACAGGCTGCTGGTGATCATTTTTGTCATACTTACAGACTTCAACTTTACAGAAGGATGAATTGTCAAATGTTTCCTTTCATCTTTTTTGTGTAAATGGAAGAAAAAAAAATTGACAAACCCCCTCGCCGTTCCCGAAGTGTATAATTTCAGAAGGATACAGTGTGTGGTTCCAGCCCTGCACCTCTGTGATGCTCTGTTAACTGGATGCTTAGTACTGCCTATTTTGATTCCTTTGATGGAATAAAGCACGGCTCAAATACTGGTAGAATCTGTAGGCAGGCTGCTTAATGCTAAGAATAACTCTTCCCAATTTGGGGAAGTTTCCTGAATGTTGTTGGAGCTGTACAGCTACGTTAGAAAAACCCTCCCTGTATGAAAGCTGAGAGTCCAGTTTGAGGAGCTGGTCAGTACTAAGGATGCTGGCAGAGTCTTCCTGATGTGACTACAACTACGTCAAAAGAAACCATCAGCAAACCTGACTATGAAAAGGGTGGTTTTGCTCGTGTAGCTCCAGCTGCAGACAGTAACTGTGTTGGTTGTGGACCACACGTGTTGATACCCCATCTGATGTTGCCGCGCTTGTCTGTAGCGTTTCCGTAGGCCGATGAGGGGTCCTGCCGATGCAGGCAGAGTGATAGAAATGTAGTTGGGGACTTGTGGCGTCGTGGCAGTTAGACAGGTACTGAATCTACTGTGCCTTCTCACCACTAACTTCTATGGTGTTTTTGAATGCTAAAAGCAGGGACCTACAGGTTTATCTTTATGCCATTTGCATCTTATGTTCATGTGCATTATGATGGTCTGAATTGTGGATGCTATGGATAGGCACTTCCATCCAAACAAACCTTTTGCCAAAAAAGTAGTCTTTAAGTATCACTTATGTTTTTAAAAATTCTGGGTTGCAAAATTCATGTTCTTGAAACATCTGTCCTTGTTGACTGATCCTTTCAGAACATTATTGTAACATTTTAATATTGCATTGGACATAAGTGTAAAAATACAGGTGGTATTGTCAGTGTTTGAACTTTTCCCTCTGTATCTGCTTTCAAAAATCTGCTGATTCATTTGGACTATTTGCGTTAGTTGTGTATTTGTTTGAGGGTATAGATGCTGTGTTTTATTTACAATGTGGTTAGTTAATTTTTCTGTCTCTTTTTATTTTTGTGGATGCATATTGTCACCTTTAAAACATGATTCCCTGCTTTATGAGAGTCTTCAAAAGTTATTTTCGGATTTACTTTTAATTATAACTGGCAGACCATATTTTTTCACTTGTGAAGTAAAATAGCTTCCAAAAATGAATACTGTTTTTGGAATTCAGTACAGGAACATCTTGAATTACTCATGGGCTTTTTGTACCAGACAGCAATTGTTGGCTAAAAGGCTGTGGCTGCAGAATTTCTGTGGTGTGTCAGGCAGGAAAAGGGAGGTGCATCTTAAGAGTTGCTTTGGGGTGCAGTTCGAATCGAGCTAGCCCAGTCTAATGGTGCAGTGTACTGAAACAGATGGTGCTTCACCTGGGTGGTTCCCACCCCGTCCTTTGTGACCCGTATAGCCAACAGATTTCTTCAGAGTGGCGTGTCACCATGCTTTCTGGTGGCAGCTGGAAGGTTTCACTGATTTTAGCATGGAGTTGGCCTCTTGGTGGCATACTGCAGAATGTTGAGCCATGGCAGCTTGATTTGGTAAGGTCAGGCCCAGCGTTCCTTTATTAATTTTACCAGTGTTAAGAAAAACACGGGATACCAGTCTGCTAGTACATCCATGCAGGGGATCCCCATGCCTGTACTGAGGTGTACAAGGGGCTCTGTAGCTCTACGTTATTAATTTAGATTATGAAATGTATTAATGACATTTTATAAGCCTCTAACAGGGAGAATGGTTAAAAGAATAATATTAGGTCAAATTTACAGCATCTACTTGAGATATCTAAACCATACTTTTATAAACCTCAAGACTATTTAAAATAGAGTATTTTTAAATTACAGTACAATATGAGATGATTTAAAAAAAATGTTCCTTTTCAGGAATTTGTAATACAGATGAGTTAACACAATAGTGAAAGCGAAACCAACTTGACTGAGTTTCTTTTTGGTTTTTGGTTTTATTGTTGTGGAAAACATGGAAAATTACTAATGAACAGATAGTTATGACTCCATCTTTGTTTTAAAAAGTCTCTTTAATTTCTTTTAATATGGATGTTTAAAGTAATCAAAGATCTTCAGTTTACAAAGTTTGTTCGTGTTATGTTCCAATAGTTACTGATATGCTTTCTGAAATTAATAGCATAACATTAAACATTAGATTCCTATATATTTCCCCCTCCTACTCTCGGCTGAAGTGCAGAGGTAGAACTCCAGAACCACCATGTTTGCTCTTTGTTCTCTATATTCTACTCATGAAGTAGCTTATTGTGGAATAAAAATTAGTGGTTTAAAAACAGCAGGCTGTAAGATTGCCAATGTATTGCCAAAGCTCTGCACAGGTAGGATTGCTTATAGTGATAGATGTCTGTAGGATTTACACAATGATGGGATGGATTTAAGAAATAGTTTCATTTCTCTCTTACTGATTGATTGAGGAAAGTTGTTAATAATTTCAGGAAGGAAGAAGTACTGTTTTATTATATCTTATTTGATACACATTTGATTATATTGTATTTGACCTATACCAGGTCACAATGGAAATGAAATTATGCTGGGGATTTATAGTACAGGATATCTAGATTACAATTACAAATTTACGATTTATTTTTGAATGGTGGGAAAGAATTGCACTGCTTTGTCCCATAAGACCTTTGTCCCATATGGCACATGGTGTAAATCCTTATGCAAATACTTACTTCATTCTGACTCAGAACTGCGTTTTGTCCAGAACGTTGAAATATCAAAGCTTAAGTCTTGAAATACTCTTGGTATTTTGGTTCTGTGGTGTGGAAGTATGATGAGACGATCATGTTGTAAAATGATGACTGACTGTCAGTAGGAAGCTATATAATTAATGCATACTAGATTCTTGTGGATTTTTTTCTCTCTCGGTGACATTTAAAATTCTCCTCATTTGAAAGGAAGCTACGAATGATGGAGTTGTACTTAGCTGACAGCAGTGATTGATTACATTATTATTTTCGGTTATGTGTTATTTTCTCAAATTCAAACCAAAACCTTCTGCTTTTGTACG